CAGTTCTTCTTCCATTCTTTGAGCTATTGTGTAAGATTCCTGTTGCCACTAGTCTGGCATATCTTCAAGATAATCAAGCCTTTCCCACTGATTTCTAGGCAACCCATCCTGCACTAATATCAATAAGAATGTCTAAATCATCGTCAAATAGTTCATTTTCCATTGGCCAGCAATTATGAATAGGATTAGAGCTCTGATCTAACATAGGAAACGATCTAATATTTCATAAAAAAAAAAACGAACAAGATTATCTTTTGACATTTGAAAACTCAATGAGTAGACATTTCGTAAAGATAACCGACGGTTATCATTTTTAATTGGCCAAAATTCGCCAGTTTTATTAAACACCCGGTTAAGTACAAAATTTTGTTGATGGATATGAAAATGACTGCTTAACTACAAGTTAAAAAATAATTGTTGCTTTTTAACATTGGTGGATACGGGCATAATGAATTAAAATCAAAATTACTGTCAAGAGGCGTATTGATTGACGTACAATTTGACATTCCATACTTTGTCAAAATTTGTTTTAAATAAAGTCTGTCTATTTACGACTGACATATAATGTAAGTATTATATTTGTGATTTTGGCAGTATAATGCCATATATTATTCCCGCAGGGATTAATGGTCATTATTCCCGCTTGCACACCAATCACAAAATTTCTCAAATTTAAGTAGTACCATGAAAACAATATACCTGAACAAACTCAAAAGTGTCAGCGTCAAACGCGTAATGCTTGTGTATTTGTATTGAGATGGACGAAGAAGGAGCATTTTTGGAAAAAAAAATTCAAATAAATTAATTTCTCGTAAATAAAGCAGAGTATACTACTCGCAATAATGGCATTATTGACTCGTGGTAAAATCTACTATTTTTTTTAAAGATAATTCTCCAAGTCAAAAAATTAGTTACTATATTGGTAACAAATGACTTTTCTACATAAAAATTTGAAAGCATTGACAATTTTACATTGTATTGCCAAATTCATGTTATTTTGACTTTTATCTTTAAAAAAAAAAACAGACTTTAGCTTGACTGGTTTAAATCTGTATAGCCACTCTCAATATTTTGCTCAATACTTATACCTAAATAGTAACTAACTACGTCTTTCATGTTGAAATTAGAGTTTACCATAATTTTCAGGTTCACTACTTCGTCATTATCAGTCCCTGATATAAGTAAAATCATCTACATACAATAACAAGTATAACTTGTTCTATTCAAAACACTTTGAAATTAAATAGAAATCGTTTTGTGATCGACTAAAACCTAAAGTTAATATCAAGTTATCAAATTTGCTGTTCCAGCATTTGGGTGATTTTTTCAACCCATGAAGAGATTTATTCAATTTAAAAACGGTTTTGCTTTTGCATTTTGTTGCCCCTGGTAAGGACATGAACACTTCTGTTATGTCACCGTACAAAAATGCGCGTTGAACATCTATTCGATAAAGAGGTAATGGTAACTTATTTACTAATAGGTACCTACTATTAGTATTCTAAAAGTACTCAACTTTGCGACTAGGGCGTAGATATCACAAATTTTCACAAGATTGATGAAAGTCCCTGGCTACCAAACCTTCAAACTCTCCACTACTCTTAATCTTAAACATCCACTTACTATCTATAATTTGTTTATTTTCTGGCCATGGTACTTCACACCAAGTATTATTCGTGCACAAAACGCTCAGTTCTTTTTCCATTGCTTCTTTCCACTTCTCCGCACTGTCACTTCCCATAGCTTCTTGGTATGTCAGCGGTTCTTCAGCAGCGGAGAAAAAACTGGTTTCATACTCTCTTAACCAAGTTGATGGTTTTATTTCTCGACCACATCTATCTGTGTTGACAACTGTCGTCGGTTCGTCAGTTGACTCATCATTTGTTATGTCATCATTTTCAATAAATTCATTTTGGTGTTCTAAAAAAGGTTCTTCGGGCTACTCAACTTGTTGCTCAATAAGATGTTCACTTTCATGTCCATCTTCTATGTTATCGTTATCAATATCATCCGCCATTTTATAATTTATATTTAATTCAACAACCTTTTCTTGCTGTATACATTGCTCTTCGTTTCTTGGAAATATAACATATGGTTCCTATGAATTAAACAGAAGCGAATGCTTTCAGTTAAGTTTTTTGAGATAAACACATTCAGCTTTAATGCAGCACAAAGAGACGGAGGTAGAATAGAAGCATTTGCTACACTTTATTCATATGACTGAATATCTCTATGAATCTCAGCTTTATTTCTGTCTGGAAAGTATCCTCTTCATTATACCCAACTGGAACACCTTTCTCACTCTTCGAATCTAACTTCCTTCTTTTTTCTTTAGGAATATGTACCTACAGCTAAACTAGACCTAAAACTTTCTAAGAGTTGTAAATTAAATTTCTTATTGTGCCAAAGTTCATATGGAGACTTATCTTTTATACAGCTTTTGCTGACCCTATTGAACACAAATACCGCTGTATTTAAGCCCAGAACTTTTTGTCCATGCCATTGAAATGTAACATGGTCCTAGCAGCTCCCTGTAAAGTTCTGTTTTTCTCGTTCGGCACGTCCATTTTACTGTGGGGTATACGTGCATGTCATCTCCTGTTTAATACCTCTTTTTTGTAATATGTACTGCAATTCTGCATTGATGAATTCTAAACCATTGTCTGTCCGTAATTTCTTCACTCTTTTTCCTATTTGGTTTTCAATCATTACTAAAAATCTTTCTACTTCTTTTATTGTATCCGACTTATTTTGTAAGAAGTAAACCACTCTGTTGTTTGTAAAGTCATCCTTAAGTAAAGTCTGTTTTTTTATTAAAGATAATTCCCCAAGTCAAAAATTTAGTAACTATGTTGGCAACACAAGCCTTCTTCGAGTAAAAAAATTGAAAGCAATGCCAGTTTTACATTGTATTGCCAACATAATGTCATATTGACTTTAATCTTTAAAAAAAAAAACAGATTTTAGCAAGTAATATTTAGCACCACCTAATGAAATAGATTCAAAAGACCACAAAGATCTGCGGGGACCAATTCACCTATTTTAGTTCCTCGAGAGTCACTGATCTCGAAAGGTAGCCTATGGTGTTTACCTGCTAAACATGCATTACAAAAAGGATTTTCTACTTCATTAAATAAAATGACATTATTCCTCGAAACATTTCGTACTTGATTAAAATTAATATGAGCCATTTTATAATGCCAAACTACAATATCTTCTGCCACATTACAGTGTAGTGTGACATTTCTGTTTCACCTTCATATTGATATATGTACTTGTTCAAATTAAAAACATACTCTTACCACAGAGAACAAATTCACTTGTAGTTTAGGCACGTACAGTTCATTATTCAGTATTCAGTTCAGTTTCTAGCCACTGTTTACCATTCCACGCTTGTAGTTTAATTTTTCCGATCCCCATCACTTCAATAAATGTCCCGTCTCCAATCTTCACTGTCTTATTGTTCTCTGATTTTTCAAGATGCACAAACTGATTTAAGTCTTGACACATGTGATCATTAGCTCCACTGTCCATGCACCAATCTTCAGGAAACGTGTTTGACTCCCTGATTATTGTCAAAGATTCTGATGTGATTGCTATTTCCAGCATCCCTACAATAGCATTGGAAGGTCTTCCTCTTGTTCCTGTATCTTCATTTTTCTCTTTGTTGAACCAACATTAAGCCATAGAATGCCCAATTCTTTTACAATCGTGGCATCTCAATCTCCCTGAGTTTTCATCATTTTCTTTTAACCTTTTTTTGTAAACAAAGCTGTTTTTCTTTAGTTGTTCAGGTTTCTTACATAAAAAACATTTCTTTTCACTAGTGGCTTTCAGTGCTTCAAAACTTGCAGCTAAGGCATCTGTTTTGTCCTGTTGTCTTAGTCTCTCTTCCTCTATTAGCAGCCTTGAAGTTAACTCTGAGAAAGTTTGTCTGTCCGAAGGTGTGGATTCCCAAGCGGACACAAAGTATTTCAAGTTACTGGGTAGTGATATCAGCACTTTTGCTATGAGCATTTTGTCACTCAATTCCTCTCCAAGATGTTTTAACTGCCCCCTTATATCTTCAAGCTGCGATACAAAGTCTACTACACTGCTATTTTTGAACTCGAGACTAAAAATCTTCTACTGTAACAAATGCACACTTACTACAAACTGATGCTCATAAATTGATTTTAATCTTTCCCATATTTCTGCGGCAGTACTGCATGTCATCACATGATTCATTTCTTTTTCATCTAACCTTTGAATAATTACTTCTTGAGCCTTTGCTTCCTTCTCGTCCCACTTCTCAGAGTTGGTCTGTGGTCTTTGAATCTCGCCAGTCACCAACAGGCTCTTTGATTTTAAAGCTATCTGCACTTGGAATTCGCAGCTGTTCCAATTTTCTCCAGGAAGCTTTACCACTGCTGGTGCTTCGTCCATTTTTGATACTTTTTACAGTCGTGTTTTCCCTTGATACTATCCCCAAAGCCGGGTTTTCAGATTATACTTCCCGAAACCGGGTATTTCTTTTATACTTTGCCAAACCGGGTATTCGCTATTCACTATCGACAATTTCAATATTCGATACTCTTGTCCATATTTACTAACGCTCCTCGTCTTCTTATCTCAACTTTTGTGGAATTTCTTTGGCTAATTTCTGCACTTCAAACTACCAATGCACTGGCGCCCATTACCTGTTGCGTAATGTAAATAATGGGCAATTTGAAAAGAAATATTTTATCAATTGAGAACTGTAGCTTACACTGTGTTTTTACAACAACTCAACACGACAAAACTGCATCAGACACAACTGCTCACTGACTGACTGTCACAGACTTGACAACTGACTTACAAACAAAAATCACTTCCCCCTAAATACTTTTATTGTTAGGCCTTTTTTTTTCACAAAAATAAATATCTGATAATTATTATTTGTCATATAGTTATTTGTCGATATTTCAGATGAAAATCAACAAAGACGTTCTCGAAGAGCTCCTATTTTTTTCTGAGACCAAATTCCCTGAAAGAACAATCGAAGACATGGGTAATAATCGACTTACCTTCGCGTTGGTATTCAAACGAAGTAACGAAAACCTGACTGGAAACATCGACGATGTGGTTCTTCAATTAGTCTATGGAAATTCCAGGAAACCTCCTGGTGACGATAGGTCGCCTGCTAGAAAGTTGTTAAAGGTTTGGAATAGGTCGGGTAGACACAAAGATTGGGTAGATGTGGTTGGGAATTTGTCTGAGGAGGAGCTAAAAGAAGCTAAAAAAGATTTAATGTTTGGTAATTAGTTTGTTTTGAAAATTGTCGAAATTCCAAATTAAAAAATTCCTTAGGTATATGGGCCCCACCCAACTCTTTGAGTAAAGCTATGGTGTTGAAGTTACTTTTCCCAAACCTATCCAATCCTTTTAAAATACCCGATTTAAAAGAGATTCCATTGCACGTAGCTGTAGCGTATGATGCTTTTAAAGGTGAGCAATACTTATCTACTACGTAACTTTTAGTAAAAAAAAAATACCTGAATTTCTTTCCAGCTAAGGACATATTTGAACTAGGCGAAAAGTATCCAGGAAAAATTATGAGTTATGGATATTTTTCTAGCGATTTGCCAGGTGAAGCAAAACTATTAGGAAAGACAACTGAAAAATTTGAAACTCGAAATGCAACAGTCACTTAGTAAGTTTTTTGCTAGAAAAAAACTTTGCACCTCTAAAAATTGCTTTCTAGTGAAGAAAAATTGGTGATCCAATTGGCCAAAGAAGATCGTCAATGTTTTATGGATTTCATAGACCTAGGCCCTTCGTACATGAGTACAGACGTCGAAGTTGGTGTTTTAGATTGTCAATATTTTTTTCCACCTGGCTATAATACGCCAGAGTCTGAAATTATTACTTATCTTAAGAAAAAGACCAAAAGAAAGGGTAATTTTTTTTTTGTGTGTACCATGTAATAAAAGGTGGACTGTCCTATGAGGCATAATATGTTTTTCTCACACTTCCATAAGTCCCCATCAGTATAACATTTAGTTTTTACTTTTGAATGGTTTGGTCTATCAATAATTTCCCTAAGGCTGGGTTTATTCATCTTCAGCTAAACTTGCTGGTAACTAACTGCAATATAAATTCACCGATTTATAATCCTATTGGTCGGCGGATAACTGGCTGACCAATGCGATTACAGATTGCGTTTTTATCCGTCAGATTGCATTACCTGACCCTGACAGTTTATCGGAAGGTGAATAAACCGGTTCTAGGAGTATGCCAGATGAGGGACTATAGACAAGGTATATTTGACTGTAGAAGCAAAAACCGATTCAACATCGGGGTATTTTTTTTACTGGTACAGTTAAGTTGATAATAGATCGAAATAAATGCCTGTTATAGCGGTTTTATTAATATTTAGTTGTTTAAATAATAACTTTATAATTATTGATCTATAATGAACATCAATTTTTTAGGTAAAATTGGCAAGTTCCGAGCTGGAACAGATCAGCTTCAAGATGGCGACAGTCAATCAGTTATTACTGGTACTGAAGTAGATTCCTCCGTAGCTGATCTTGGCGAAGATACTGTTATAGGCGACGATGCTAATAATGAAGAAGCTGAAAGTGATGAGGAAGAAGCAGATGATGTTGATAAAGGAGAAGAAGAAACTCAAATTTCTGACGTATTGGAAAGTGCTGATAAAGCTACGTCGCCAGTAGCTGAGTAATTAGTAGACCAATTTGTAGTGCACCATACTACATAATATGCGAATCTTATTTATAGGTTTCACCAAACTTCTGTCTATAATAGTCTCAGATTGTTATAGAAAGATAAAGCACAGAAATATAATCCTAGGAACAGACTCTGTTTTATAATTGACCCCTAGAGTAGATAGGTTTATGCAGATGAGTTCACAGCTGCATCACATAAAAGGTATGTGTCTCGCAGATGAACCTCCATTACAAGACAAGCAATGAAAGGCCTGACTTGCCTCATCTATCTTTTTGAAGTGAATAGGGCAATGACCATTTAACAGCTTTCACTTCGGTTCCCTGATCTGGGAAAGTTCCTGCGTCGTTTCAGAAGTCGACGAAATTAAAAATAGCTTCTTCACTGGCAAAGTTCCAGTGAGAGGCTTTTTCTCGCATTTTTTGCCATGACCTCTACCAAAGGTTTTTGGTAAATCGAAAATGGGGTCTGGAACAAGTAAGGATGACGCATCTCCAGGCGACCTGCCATTTTATCTCCAATCTTCTTCAACTTGATGATAACTGACAAATGATAAGTACCTCATTTTGAAGCTCTTTTTATGCTTGAAATATTCTCCAATTTTTAAAACATTTGGCAAAAATCGGAATTGGGGAAATATACCTTCAACGGCTTTCGGTCAGATGGTATGATTGTAAGATTATAAAAAAAATCTCATAAAAGCACCTAAATTTGTTCTGAACAAAGCATATCTAATAATGATTGTTTTGCACAATCTGTAGTACCTATGACAAAGAATCCAGAACTAAACACGGCCGATAATGGCATTAAATAACAACCTCGGTTCATTAGATATAATTCCGCAGAAGTCTTACCCATCTGGAGCAGCCCTATTTAAGGGCTGCGGATGTGAGAGAAGGCAATCCCAGAAACATTATCAGCCTTGTCAAAAGCCTTAATCTTGGAACCTACTAGATATAAAAGGAAGCACAATAATCTAATCAGGTCGCAGTGCGGAGAAGTCCATAGCCTAAACACCCTAACCTCACAATCTACAATCACATTCTAGATATAATTCTCGGCTACCGCCTCAGATTCCAAACTTCAGCGCATACTTCTTTCAAAAGAATTTTTTTCTCCAAACGTCAGAAAAACGTCACTTTGTTAACCCCTGTCAAGATGTCAGAAATTTGATTTCTATGCTGCTAGGAAAATCCAGCGGGTAAACACCTGTCGAGGTGGTAGAAATTTAATTTCTATGCTGCTTGGCAACCCCAGCGGCAGCAAAAGTACTTTTAGTGCCGCTGGAGCGGCAGTAGAAGTACTTTTAGTGCCGCTCGTACTTTTAATGTCGCTCAACCATCCACTTGCCTCCGAGCTTACCCCATTCATTTGGAGAAAAAATAGCGTGTTGCATACGGAGTAGAAGCACTTTTTTGTGCTTCAGCAGTATTGCAAGCCTCACTACGTTCGGCTCGCAAACCTCCTGCTTCAGCTCAAAAAAGTAAAGCTTCTACTCCTAATACAACAATATACTATTAAAAGCCATACATTTCAACTCACTTATAACATGCTAATAACTCACCTAAATAAATTTCAAGTAAATAGGTCATGAGCGCGTCCTGAAGTTATCAGACAGGAGGAACAAGCTTTATTTTCCGTATTGTTGATATGTTGTCATCCGTTCTTGCCGCCAAATCGCATCAGCAACGGATTGGCGCTGTTGTATTATATTATGTAAAAGACATAAGGGTTTATTAAAGCCGCAACAACGATGAGAATGCAGTGCTCTGATTGGTTGATTTTTCTAAACTTGTTTTCGCAACCACCAAAACAACTAAATGTGTTGGTGGTTGCATATTTGCATGTTTATCAAGCTTCGATCCGTGAAAAGCATATTTTATTGATAACCACGAAAAACTTAAAAAAGCTAATTGTAGATAATGTATCAAAAAATGTTTATGCTAATGGATTTTGGAAATTATTGCGGATTTTTTGAGATGACCTTAAAACGAATTTTAAAGGTGAAAATTGGAAAAAATTGACAGTCACAGTTCAAGCAGTTTCAAGTAGATAGCGCCACGGCAAAAAACCTACATTTGAAGCATCATAATGGTATATTTGCCTTTCTCTTTCACTAAGTGTTTCACCGACAAACAAATTCTGTTTTGGACAAAAAATAAAATATTGTACGTGTAGAGTGGCGCAGTCGTCATTTTCAAAAACTAAATTTAAACATGGCGGTGTAGGCAATCTCATTACATGTCAAAAACGAAATTTAATATGGAAGTTCAGGTCAAGCACTGTGTTGTTTATTCTGTATGTCATTGATTCTGTCACATTCTGGACAAACGTCCAGATTTGAATTATCGGATTTTGTGTTTTTTTGTGAGTAATAAAAATGCCAGCGATTTGCATCGTAATTGGGTGTGGAAGTCGAGGTAACAGGTGTTGATTTCTTTAAAATAATGAGAGTGGACTGTATTATTTATATATTTACATTTATTTATACACACGACTATTTACACTATTTACAATTTGCATTTTCTCGTTTTTGTTTACGTTTTTAGACTTATAGAGTCTGTAAAAATGGTCATATAGGACCTGCCCAGAATTATCTGGTGCGCTCGGTGAGGTTCGATTCGACACTGACTGTTGGTTCACTCGCGTAGATGCCGGAAGCTACTTTACCAAAAACTTTGACAAGTGATTTTTTACACTGTTTGACACATACGCGCACACTTCCGGTGCATACCGGGAAAATTAAAATTTGAATTTTAAATTTACTGTTGGAATATTGTTTCCAACATACTCGCGGCCAAGAAAGATTCTTAAAATTATTACAAATACTACAACATTGTAAACTTAAATTAAACGAGAGTAAAATATATGTGCATCGTTGCACAAAATAATTAAGCGATATAGCACTTATTAAATGGCTTATAGAGCCTCAAAAATTTAACCTATAGAGTCAAGTTATTACATATTTTATGAAACTAAGAAAGTTACATTATAGGTACATAGATTATGGGTAGCTTATAGAGCTTAAAGGCTTGACTTATAGAGCCAAGTTATTATTTTATATAACTTAATAAGTTATACATAAATTATAGATAGCTTATAGAGCTTAAAGTTTTGACTTATAGAGTCAAATACTTCTAGATATTGCTAGAAATTATTCTACAAAAAATATTTAGTAATGGCGACTTGAAATTTGTATTTTCAAAATGTACAAATATTATAAAAAGTATTAAGAACCTAAACTATCTGAGGCAACTTAAGATCTAGGTATCTACAAAAATGTACAATTTTATGGACAATAGTAAAAACCTTAAGTATCTAACTATATAAATATGTATAAATATGTATAAAATTGACATTGAGTCACAAGTCACTCGATGGGTAAGACGGCAATTTTTGTTACCGACCTTAAATAGTTACCTGTTCGTGTTCGAACTTCAACGACTCGAACTTTGCCATCTTTCCCAGGTATTGTTCTTGTGATTCTGGCAATCGGCCATTGAAGAGAGGGTACATTATCCTCCTTCAGCAAAACTAAAAGCCCTTCCCTTAGGTTAGGGACCGAGTGTTGCCACTTAGGCCTACTCTGAAGCTGCGCTAAATAATCTTTGTGCCACCGCTTCCAGAAGTGTTGCTTCACCTGAGTAGCCATATTCCAAAATGACAACCTATTTTCCGGAATTTCAGTCAAATCTTTTTCAGGAAAGCTTGTTATAGCTGAACCGGTTAAAAAATGACCTGGCGTCAAGTATTCTAAATCGAAAGGATCGTTTGTTAATTGAGTTAGTGGCCTAGAATTTAAAATTCCTTCCACTTGGACTACTAGAGTGTTTAATTGCTCGTAGGTCAATCTGCGCTCTCCCATTGTTCTCTTAAGGTGGTGCTTGGCACTCTTGACCCCGGCTTCCCAGAGACCCCAAATACTGGCGAGTAGCTAGGAATAAACCTAAAAACGATTCATTCATTTGCAACAAAATGTATTATTTTATTTCTGCTTTCAGATTCGAAAACCCGGTTAAGTTCATCTAATTTGTTCTTTGCGCCTTTAAACGTTCCGCCATTGTCGCAAAAAACCTGTGAGGGTTTCCCTCTTCTAAATATAAATCTTTTGAAGGCCTCTAGGAAGTTATCGGTAGTCAAGTCCGACAAGACTTCCATGTGTATTGCCTTAACTGAAAAGCATATAAAAAGCGCAATATAAGATTTAGTTATTATAGGTTTTCGAATTCTTGACTGTTTAGTATAAAAGGGTCCGCAAAAGTCAATACCAACATTTTGAAATACTCTTGCAGGGTTAACTCTATCGCGAGGTAACGAGCCCATAAGCTGTTGCGAACAACGAGCTTTACTTTTAAAACAAATCACGCATTTGTGTATATTTTTCTTGACTTCTCTGACACCATTTATTATCCAAAAATATTCATTAAGACTGCTCCAGACCTGTCTTTGTCCTGCGTGTAGTTCAGGATTATTTTTGAATCGTTTTTCGAGGTTTTCGAATCGTTTCAAAGCTACCGAGAAAGAATCTCCTAGATTTAAATCCTCAATATTTCTTTTCAAAGGTAAGTACACTTCAAATTTATTATTTATTTTAGACACAGTATTTTTAAAAATGTTTTCGCAAGCTTCTTGCTCACTAGAATACTCTTTATATACTAAAGGTACTTTTTCTGTTTCCCAAAATTTTGAAATTAATTCTTCCATTTTAGGTTCGTTAACAACAATACAATGAAATAAAGCTACAGCTAAACTGGACTGGATATTTTTCGAGTTGCTAGGTATGGAACCACTTACAACGTAACCCAGGTAAGTATTTCGCAAAATTAATCCATTTTTCCTCAAAAATATTTTTTCAGGTAACAAAATATCAAAAAATATATTCGCTCTCAAAAGAATTTGTATCGCATTTGGTTTATTGAATTCTAAATCAGAAAGTTTTATGTTTTTTTGGAAGGTTAATAGAATTTTTACTAAATTCAAATTGTGGCAAAATGCCTG